GCTGTGAGAACGGCAAAGGCTGCTCGAATCAGAAGAAATCCCATTCGAAAACAAAATATCATGTCTCGAGAAACGGGAATTTCTGTCAGATTATTATCTCGCACAATAAAAAGTGACCTTAGGATGGCTGCATGGAAATTTGGAGAATAGTATAGAAATTACCCAGAATAAATTTCATTTAGATCTATTTATTAATTAAAAACCTGTACCACTACAACCCATGAAGGGTCTTGGGTTCAGTACTATTTAGAGAAAGCACTGTTTCTTGGTCTACGGTTGTGCAAGGAGGTGATTTGACGAGATCACGCTCAACCGCCAGGTTTTTCCCCTTAACTAATTATTTTAATTAAAGGTACACACTTTATAGAGGCTGGGTGTGCCTCAGGGAGGTCTACCTATCCAGGGTCGCTCCACGGCTTAATAATTAAAATTAATATAAATAATTGTTAGCAATTTAATGGCTCTAAGAATGGCGAGAGCAGTGGCTGCTCAAATTAGAAGAAATCATGTATCGGGAAATGGGAATCTCTGTCAGATTAATGTCTCGCATAGTAAAAAGTGACCTTAGGATGGCTGCATTTCCAAGAATGACAGGACAAAGGCTAACCACTTCCCTTAAAAAAAAATAGAATGTATAAATGCAAAGTGCTCCTTGGCCGTTACACCAATGGTCTTCATCGAAAGATTTTGTTTAGCGATTAGAAAATTTTTACAATTGAATCGCCAAAATGATCGTGTGTACGCACACAGCTCTAAAGAAGTCCAGGAAGTCATTTGAAGAGTGGAAAGAGGTCATCACCCTTCCTCAGTGATTTTTTGCTTTGATGGCAAAAGAAAGCTCCATTTTTATAAAAAAGGAGTTAAAACAGCCGCTAAAAAAGTATCAGGATATTTTGGAACCTGTTGTCAAGCCTCTAAAAGATACTCTGTTTTCTGGAAGCCATTGGGTTTTCCAGCAGGATTCCGCTCCAGCTCACAAGGCCATCTCAAATCAGCAGTGGCTGCAAAAGAATATTCCAGAGTTCATCTCTGCCTCGGATTGTCTCTCAGGAAGCCCTGATTATAATTTACTAGATTATTGGCTTTGGTCCGGACTGGAAAGGATGGCATGCCACTGCGGGCGGATTTACGGGGAGGGCTTTGGGGCTGAAGCTCTCCCCCTAAAACGGTAAAATATAATCATGCTTTATGGAAAAAATATTAAAAGATTATCTCTTAAATTATTAGTGTTCGTGTAACTACATTTAAAAGGACTTTAGGAATCACTTAAACACCATTTCATACAGGTAGTTAGTTTCTTAATTTTTTTCCAAAGTAATTATCGTTATTTTTATGAAAAAAAAGCTTTCGGGCTGAAGCTTCCCCCAAAATTAAATTCTGGATCCGCTAGTGCATGCCTAAGAGCACACCCTAACTCACAGGCGGATTTACGGGGGAGAGGGGCCCTTTCGTTCTGAAGCCCCCCCAAAACGGTAAAATATAACCATGTTTTATAGAAAAAAAATATTACAAACTATCTCTTCAAGTATTATCGTTCGTGTAATTACATTTAATAGGGCTTTAAGAATCACTTAAACACCATTTCATTTAGGTAGTTCATTTCTTTCTTTTTCTTTTCAAATTAATATCGTTATATATATTCAAAAAAATCTGTCGGGCTGAAGCCCTCCCCCCAAAAAATTAAATCCTGGATCCGCTAGTGCCTTAACTTGTAAAGCCTCAAACAATCTCTGGTCCGAGCAGTTGAGCGCTTTCCTCAAGAAGTTTTTCGTGCTGCTATTGATGACTGGCCATGGTAATTAAATGCCTGTGTCAAGGCAAAAAGGGGACATTTTGAGTAATTTCTTTTTTGTTTTACTCTATAGAGGCATACATTTTATTTTCAAGTAAAGTTTTTGAAACAATTAATTTTTCTGTTGAAATCTGTATATATTTCCTTGTAACAATATTTATGACAGGACTAGGTACGGTTTTCAAGATTATTATGAATAATAAAATATGATACAATAAAAAAATATATTTAATTAAATATAAATATGCGAAGATAAATTAAAACACATTAGGCCTGTTCGTCAGAGTGGTTTCCAGATCTGAGCCTCAGGTAGAGAGAGTAGACAACCAGGAAGCAGAAGCCATGGACAACTGGAATATTCATACATTATTAGTTTATATATTATAACAAAATAATAATAAGCTAATATATATATATATATATATATATATATATATATATATATATATATATATATAAGTTAAACAACCTTATTTATAATAATAATAATAAGGCTTAGCGAACCCGAAGGTTCGATGCCGACACCACCAATCGCTTGTTACACACCTCCCTCCACCGTTCGCCGTCCAAACCCAGTCCCTTCAGATCGGCTTTAATGCAATCTTCCCACCTTCGCTTCGGTCTACCCCTCGGACGCTTACCATTCGGCACAGCAAATATTAACCTTTTAGGAATTCTCTCGTTACTAAGCCCAACAACTTTACAAGCCCATTTGATTCGTCGCGATGAAATTACCTCAATTATATTACCCGGATACATCTCACGCAATTCGGCGTTGTGTAACCGTCTGAACTCTCCGGTTAACTCATCCTTCTTCGGTCCGAATATTCTACGCAATACTTTATTTTCAAAAACCTTAAGACGCTGCTCATCCCTTAATGTAAGCGGCCAAGTTTCGCATCCATAAAGGACTGTAGGCAAGATAATTGTTTTATAGATTCTAATTTTTAAGTTTCGGGACAAGAGGCGCGAACTAAGTAGTTTTGTCACAGAAAAATAACAAGCATTCCCCGCCTTCAGTCTAACCTTAATCTCTTCTTCAATTCCTTATTCTCTTCTTCAATTTCTCTTCTTCAAACAACCTTATTTAGATTATTTATATATTTTGTGAGATTTATTTTAATTTAATTATTATATTTAATCTATATATGATTTTGTTATTTCTAAAAGCCTTTTTTTTTTTCTCACAATCTTTTATTTTACATTTAAAACATCATTATACTCGTATATATTCAAAGTTTACAATAATATTTCGGCCTTTTTGGCTGTTTTCAAATATATTTGTTGCACACATTTACAGGACCTGTCCATATTTTGTTTGTAAAATTTCTAACTTGTCAATTTCATCCAGAAAAAAAGATAAAGCTTTTGTTTTTGTCAGACGAAATATTATTTATCGGCCAATATAACTTTGTATACAATTGTTAATAGGACAAGCATGGTAAGGTGTCACATGAAAAAAAAAAAAAAAAAATGTTAAAAAGTTTTTGTACATACAAAAAAGAAAGAAAAGTATTATTGTACATAAAAATAAGACAAATGACAAACTGAATGCAAAACGATACCATAGCATTCTTACATACAGTATTAATCTGATTGGGTATTGCTTTATTTTTCAGCATGATAACAATATAAAATGTTAAATTAAATTTCTGAAAAAAAAAACAATAACGGAGAATGCCAATACTAGAACAATTTTTACAGATACACTCAGCTTCCTAGACTTTATACAAGGGCTTTCGATGTGAAAAGCTCCTTAAAATAACGTCAATACAACGGATTTGTCCCTTGGCTTGTTCTTAATTGGAAATAATCCAAACATATATATATATATATCCTTTTATCCTATCTATCCATCTGGTTTTTGGCCTCCCACGTGGTCTCTTCCCTACTACTCTGGCATGCATTGTTGTGTAAAGGCGTCCTGATGGATTGCTGCGAGCTACATGCCCCGCCTATCTTAACCTCCTTGCCTTCATGCCATGAGGTATTGACTGAACCGTTTCTTTCAGCAGTTCTTTATTGTTACTTCTCCTCCATGTGTTAAGGTTCTGGTCCCATATAGATCCTGTTATCCTAATATATGTATATATAATTATAAATTTATGCATTATATCATCTACAATCTCTGCTTGGTTAAATCAGTTTACGATTGAGTGGCTTCATATCAAAGACGGACATCTGTCATTTTCAGCAAGTGAAGAAAACGTAGATTTGTACTTTTCATAGGTTCGACTCAAACTGTTTCTGATGGTCTTTATTTAAGAATATTCAAGTAGAATAATGAAAAAAAAAAAATTAATTCAATTACACATTTATTTAATAATAATTTATCTATAATAATCTCTCGTCCATTATATACCTTTGTGTGCTTTAGTTTACGTTTTTCAGTTAATCGTTACAGAGGGCGCTATGTAAGTTCTACTTTTTCTTCCCACAACCATGTTGCCTTGTGGAAATCTTTCGTTTGACCAGATTTTATCTCAGTTTTCTCCTCTTTTTCCTTTTTCCCGTTACTTTTTTTTTCCATATTTCCACCTCTATTTTGTGTATATTCATTGAGACATTTGCTCATTACATCTTATTTACATTATTTTAATTTTTAATTCTCTTATACGCAGTCAGTGTGTTTTGATATATTTTACAGTATCTTATTTTCCTATGTACATATATTATTTTCTTTATATAACTTCATATTCTTTTTCTCTGTTTTGCATACTAAGACATCATAATTTAGCAACTACGTAATCCCATTTATTTTATGTCTAAATTTTCATCTATATTCCATTACATTTCGTTGTTACCTTATTTCATTCTGTTTATTTCTATATTTATTTTTCTTCTAAAGTCGTCCTGAGACTCCCACGAAAAAAAAATTCAGCTCTGTTTGAAATTCGCATTATTTCTTCTTTGGTTTTCTTCTTTCTAGTTTTTTAAATTGTTTTTGTTCTACCTTCCTTGGTAAAATAAATATATTTCATGTTATCATATTTGCTTAATACAGCAATATATAGCGAATTTATTCTCCTAGGGATATGTGTGTCTTATAAATAAAACAAATAAATAAAACATCATTCTTACCATAATGATTATTGTTCTTACCATCATGACTATTATTTTTACCTTCATGACTGTTTTTCCAACCATTATGACTATTTTTTTTATCATGTCTATTTTTCTTACCATTATGACTATTGCTCTTACCATTATGGCTATTGCTCTTACCATTATGACTATTGCTCTCACCATTATGGCTATTGCTCTCACCATTATGACTATTGCTCTCACCATTATGGCTATTGCTCTTACCATTATGGCTATTGCTCTCACCATTATGACTATTGTTCTCACCATTATGGCTATTGTTCTCACCATTATGGCTATTGCTCTTACCATTATGGCTATTGCTCTCACCATTATGACTATTGCTCTCACCATTATGGCTATTGCTCTCACCATTATGGCTATTGCTCTCACCATTATGACTATTGCTCTCACCATTATGGCTATTGCTCTTACCATTATGGCTATTGCTCTCACCATTATGACTATTGCTCTCACCATTATGGCTATTGCTCTTACCATTATGACTATTGCTCTCACCATTATGGCTATTGCTCTTACCATTATGGCTATTGCTCTCACCATTATGACTATTGCTCTCACCATTATGGCTATTGCTCTCACCATTATGACTATTTCTCTCGCCATTATGAATATTGCTCTCACCATTATGACTATTGCTCTCACCATTATGGCTATTGCTCTTACCATTATGGGTACTACTGTTACCATTATGACTATTTCTCTTACCATTATGACTATTTCTCTCGCCATTATGACTATTGCTCTCACCATTATGACTATTGCTCTCACCATTATCGCTATAGCTCTTACCATTATGGCTATTGCTCTCACCATTATGACTATTGTTCTCACCATTATGGCTATAGCTCTTACCATTATGGGTACTGCTGTTACCATTATGACTATTTCTCTTACCATTATGACTATTTCTCTTACCATTATGACTTTGCTCTCACCATTATGACTATTTCTCTTACCATTATGACTATTTCTGTTACCATTATGACTTTGCTCTCACCATTATGGCTATTGCTCTCACCATTATGACTATTGCTCTCACCATTATGGCTATAGCTCTTACCATTATGGGTACTGCTGTTACCATTATGACTATTTCTCTTACCATTATGACTATTTCTCTTACCATTATGACTATTTCTCTTACCATTATGACTTTGCTCTCACCATTATGACTATTTCTCTCGCCATTATGAATATTGCTCTCACCATTATGACTATTGCTCTCACCATTATCGCTATAGCTCTTACCATTATGGCTATTGCTCTCACCATTATGACTATTGTTCTCACCATTATGGCTATTGCTCTAACCATTATTACTATTGCTCTCACCATTATGGCTATAGCTCTTACCATTATGGCTATTGCTCTCACCATTATGGCTATTGCTCTCACCATTATGACTATTGTTCTCACCATTATGGCTATTGCTCTAACCATTATTACTATTGCTCTCACCATTATGACTATTGCTCTTACCATTATGACTATTGCTCTTACCGTTCACACCCAATTCGATGAGGAACTCTAGGAAGGGCATCTTGAGGTAGGAGGCCAAAAAGAAATAGAAGACTGTCATGTTAGAAGAAGCTATGAGCACAAACTGGTTGATCAGCCAGGTCAATATGAATCCGGGCTGTGACTGTTAACAATATAGATATCATAATTTATATATTTAAAAAAAATTAATAATTGCAATGCAATAATTAATATATATTTTATTTTATTTTATTTGGGACAAGAGATACAAATTAACCACTTACAATTATTGTGACTACATTTTAACCTATCAATGGCAGGCATTGAAAATCTCATAATTTCATTTTAGTATACTTTAAAATGTAAAATGATAGTTTAATAACTAATAGTTGTATAATTCATAATGTGTGCGCGCGCGCGCGTGTGTGTTAACAGTCTAGCTCAAAAACGAAAAGAATTGCATATTTAAGGTTTGTTTATGCCTGAAATGTCGCTGAAACATTTTCGTCAAAATCGGCTAATTGGAAGTGCCACTTTATAATATTGATTTAACACATTTTTACGATTATTTCGAAAATGGCTCAAAAATTTTTGATTAAATTCATTATATCAGTGTAAAATTAAACGGTTTTTAATATGATGTAGATTTTATTCTCATTGATATTCCCTAACAATGCTTAAACGGCTAATTTTTAATATTAGATTCACCTAAACTATCCTTAATTTTTTTTATTTGAAAAAATTCACCATTTCACATTAATCTCTAATATAAAATATAGTTAAATATAAAATATGAAAGAATTTGATTATTAATTAAAGGAAGAATAAGAGATTTTAACGGATAATAATTATAATGGAGGAACCGAAAAATTAAGAACGCCCACGAGCTCACCCAAAAAATTAGAACAGGCTTTCATACGTAACATGAGCCAATATAATAATATAATACCGACTCCGACAATATTATGTACATATCAATATGAGGTTTTCATAAATGCTATCGTTGGTATTATTTAATATTTAATTATATATATTACAGCGTTAAAAAATATATTTCTTTTAAAGTACTAAAAAAAAACAACAACAATTAATACATAAGGATACTTAAACAAATAAAAATACCCACAATGAAATACAAATAAATATAGCGTCTATAATTTTTACTTTCCCTTCCCATTCATCTGAAAATTCTTATTTCTGCTAAGAAAGAGGTTTGCAAGTAGAGTTGCCCAAATTGGAGACCAAGTCGAGTCTTAAGATATCGATCCCCTATGCCATAACTGTGGGATCCCGGAGACTGCTGAGCACATTATCACAAACTGCATCGCCTTTGAGTCGCTAAGGGCCAAACTGGTGAGGGAGACCGGTCTCTATGTTCTCACAAGAAGAGGACCCGCGGCGGAGAGGCCGCTGGGACAAAGAGGAGCGGAATAAGGACATAGACAACAAATTTAAGTATCAAAAAATATAATAGACTAAAACGACAAGAAAACGCTTGACGTTTCCGATTACTTCAGCACTTACTAGACAAAAGATCTAACCTTCCAATTAATTACAAAAGACTCATATACTTGACTATAATAAGGCCTATTTGGACTTACGGAGTTGAGCTATGGGGCTCCACTAAAACATCGAATTCCTCTCGCATCCAATCCTTACAATCCAAAATCCTCAATACTCCTTACTTCGTCACTAATAAAATTATCCATAAAGATATTAATGTTCCTTATATTTCAGATCTGGCCCAATCCAGGTACCTATCCTTCCATAATAAACTTCAGAATCATCCCAACCTTCTCGTTTCTAACCTTGCTTCCTCTTCAATTCCTGATAACCCTCCGAGGCGTCTGAAAAGAAGATGGCCCCGTGATCTCCTAATGTAGTCATATCATTAGAGTGCTACCATTGGATAGTTACTCAGCAAGTGTAATCATGTCATTATATCTATTATGTCCAAATTTACTAGATGTATTTATGTAATACAGTTGTAAATGTCATTAAGAAATTTAAAAAAAAAAAAAAAGGATGAAAATTGATCTCGTTGCAGAAGCAGGCTGTTATGCAGTGACGTATAACTGCCTAGATCTGTGAAACCCGTATTGCCTCAATGACACGGTAGGGTTCAAATAAATAAAATAAAATAACTAAAATTGAAAAAAAATCTATACCACTAACAACCCATGAAGGGTCTTGGGCTCAGTACAATGTGAGGAAGCACTGTTACTATAGCCAACGATTGTGCAGGGAGGTGACGAACCAATATCACGCTCAAGCAAGGTTTTCTCCCTTAATTAATTATTTAATTAAGGTGACGGGGTGGCCGAATGGGCCAACGAGTGTGCACAGCACCGCCGTTGCTCGGCAACCTGAGAATTGATACTTGGATACAAAAATCACGAGTTCACGTCCCGATGCGGGGGTGACTTTTAAATCCCCGCCCTCATCCCATGGCCCGGGAAAACTCTGTATAGCCTTAAAGGCGAGGAAGGGAAGGACCCCCCCAAAAAAAAATTAATTAAGAGTATCCACTTTATAGAGGCTGGTTTTGCTCCAGGAGAGTATCTTAGCCCATGATCGACCCACGGCTGATGAAAAATGACTAGTCATCAGCCGGATTCGAACCTGAGACCTTGATCTCTGGAAGTTACTGAACTACCTCGCTCCCGAAGTATTGGTAACTATTTTGCCTTATTTTTTATTTACAAAAACGATTTCTATTGTCTTGGTCTTGCAATAGCCAGGCGGTCTTTGTCTTGGTCGTGCAAAGTTAAAGACCAAGACCGATTTTGGACTACACTAGTGGTAAGTGAAAATCGTCTGATGCGCGCACCAGATTTTTTGTTATTAAATTAATGATATTTCTAGTTTATAGCTTTTTAAGTAAAGTTTATAACTTTATTATTACAGTTCTATATTTCAACACTGCAATTACCTACTATGGAATTAACTTACTGTCTGTACAGTTATTGTAAATTTCTCTACTAGAAATATTACTAAAATGGCATTATTTTAAAAATTTTTGAAATTTGAGTTGGTCATTCTGTAGTAGACATCCCCCAGTATTTACTCCTTTATGTGACATTGTGTGAGGGAATGAGAAGGAATTTATAGGAATGTGTGGTTGTAATACGAATTGTACTGAGTTATGAAGTGGACAAATCATTCATTGAAAAGTCTCATATCGAAAAACAATCGATAAAGAAGGACGCTTGAAAGAGGACGGAGCAGGTAGCAACAGCTGGAGAAGGACGCTGGAGAGAAGAGAAGGCACTTGAGGCTGAGACATTGAGGCTGAACGACGTTAGAAGTCTACTACAAGATTTATAAGATCTACTCTATAGTTATAACACTTTAATAGAGTCAATTTATTACAGATGTAGAAATAAATTATTTTGTTATACCGGAGTGAAAAGTCATTTATTTATTTCGTTGTCCTATATGCCTCACGATTGAAGAATAACATACCAGGTGAGTCAATTCATTCAAAGTGTATTTATTAAGTCCCACATTATATATATATATATATATATATATATAATATATATATATATATATATATATATATATATATATATATATGTATAGAAAAGAATAGAAAATAATTTTATTCTGGGACGAAGTCCCTTCAGAATAACAAAAAAGTACAGAAATTAAAATTTTACATCTGGCCAGATAAAAACAAACATAAAAAGTAAAGATAAAGATAAATCAGTAAAAAAACAAAAAAAAATATTATTTATACATAATATATACAAAGTAAAATAAAATAATCTATATACAAAACTCTCGAAACCATACTAAGATACTTAAAACTATGTACAATGGTAAAATATAAATAAACCCTTTTAGAAAAAATACAAAAAAAAAAAATGTTAATTCTTCTTAACAGTAAAATTTGTTTTTCTGTTGAAAAAAAATAAAATAAAAAAAAATAAAAAATATGTAATTTTAGGTTAGCTGGTATCTGACTGTTTTTGATACAGGAATTGGAATAGGAGGTTTTTGAATGTAGACAGGGGTAAAGAATGTCGGATTTTGATAGGAAGGGAATTCCAAAAATTAACAGAGTGAGCAATAAAGGAGTTTTGGAACGAGGCAGATCTGTGAGAAGCAAAGTAAAGGTCGGAAGGTCGAGATCTTGTGGAGAGGGAGTGGATTGAGGACTTGAATTGGAAAAGATTGTAGGCGTAGGAAGGACGATGATAGTTGATGATATGATAGAGGAATGTACCTAGGAAATATTGTCTTCGAATGGAGGGGAAGAGCCACTCTAACTCAGTGTAGTGGTGAGAGACATGGTAGTATCTCGGGGCACCAATTACAAATATATATATATTCTTATTGTTTCTTGTCACTCAGTGTCACAAAAAGTATTAAATTCCCGAATTCCCAACGACAGTTAACTACCCTCAAAAAGTCTATATCCAGTGCCGAGGTTTTGTTTTAATATTCACGAGTGTAAAT